CTTGGGTCAAAGCTTTCCTCACCGCCTGGCGCTGTCACAGCACAGATGCTTATTCCAGTCATCATGTTGATGGGGTTAGCAGTGACATTTGTTCAGCTTTTCCCAGTTTGGCAATTTAAGAGCCAGAGCTCTGATCTGGGTTCAGGCTGGTTGTTAGGTTTAAATTATCCTTCAGCCCAATTTTTTCCCCACTGTCTCCTTTTGCCAGTGTCTTGTGCTGTGTTCCAGCACACAGATTTCCTACCGTCTCATCTCCTTGCCGGGCTGTGTCCTTCCAAAGTCACTTTGTGGCCACCAGTAAGCTCCTGCGTTTCCCTCTCCGCAGCGAGCTGCGGATCCCGAACGGAAGCATTGAGATTCGCTCTCAGAGCGCAGTCCGCATCCTCCAGGGCAGCGTCAGGGTGACCCCTCGTTCAGGGGTTGTTCTATCTTTCGTTATTTATCACTTAACTAAAGCGTAGGTTTATCACGGATCTCTGAACCAGATTTCTCATGACTTGTGGGAATACCTGCCCCACCAGCCCAAATCCTCTGTCTTGTGCGAGTCGTCCCTAGGATTCCTCCCAGAGCTCAGGCCTGGGAGAGCCGGGGAACAGCCCCAGCTCCACCTTGGATTTTTGGCAGGATCGTGGGCAAAATGGATCCTAACCCTGTTTTCTACTCGCTAAAGAGAGGATGAAAACATTTCCCCAGCCCAGCCCAGTTAGGTGTTAGATTAATCGATTCATGATCACAAAGCCTTTGATATCCTTTAATCAAAGAACTGTTAAGGATTTTAAAGGTTGTTATTATTTGTGGAATAGATGTTAATTCTCTGTGCACAGTCTAAGCAGAATATGGACTCTCTTTAATGTTATTGGGGATTACGTATTAAATGCTCCTTTTTGGGTGCTGGCAGAAGTTACCGTTAAGCCACATATACATGCTGATTAGAATATACAGTATTTTAAAAGCTTCTTCACATCTCATTACACCTCTTCTTGAGCCTTCTCAGAAGAGGCTAATTTACATTAAGTCTAGGCCACATCAGGGTCTAGATTTCTCCTGAAAATATGCCTTGGTAGTAGAAGCAAAGCCCCTTGCATTCCCTGCATGAGAATCACTGAGATTCTCCTCCACAGCACAAATCCCAAGGCCGTGCTCTGAATCCCAAATAATTTGAATTTATCTAGAAATGAGAAGTATGATTCTTCCTGTGGCAATTTTAATTTCTACCTTGGCTTGCCTGTATTCCTCCGATAAAAGAGGGCACAAGGTATTTTGCAAATCACTCTGTGCAGGCTGAGCTCTGTCCTAGAGGGTGCTATGTTCTCTGGCCACCACCCGGCCGGACGCTTGAGCCTGCAGTGCCAGACGCGAGCGCGCTGGATGCCCCAGGGGACTCCACCGTCCCCACTGATCTCAGTCCCACTCCGCCCAAGGGGCACCAGTAGCGGCTGGCGCTCACACTTCAGCCTGTTCCTGGCCCACACCTCACTTCACATACCTGGAGCGGAGACTTTCCGCCAGAAAAACATTTATCACCCATGGGTGCGTACAAGAAAACTTTACCGACTTAAAGAAATTTGCACCACTCATCTAGTACAAAATATGTTGCTTTGTCTTTGTGTTTGTCCTGAAGAGAAGAAAGCTCTTAAAACATTGCAAAGCCAATTACACGCCATCAGAATGACTCAGAGGAGTCGGTTGCAGAATACCTACCACGAGAATCTGGCTCAGCCTGACAAACTGTTTTTTTTTATTATTATTATTTGTTTTCCTGCTTGGCCTGTAGCTGTACAGTGATACTGCAATGAAGTGAGAACACTGACAGGTCATGTTCTGCTTCTACAGGCAGTGCTACTGGTTTACATTTAAATGACAAATACCCTGGCAAAGCTTGCTAACTTTTACTTTACGTTTCTTTTGTTTTTAGACATTGTTGTATACTTTTTTGGAGCCACCTTATTAACCTCTGTTCTAAAGTTCTCCAGTGGCACTGAAATGATCCAACGTCTTCTTGCGGTGAGCACTGGAAAGCTGTCCTTCTTTCACTATCACAAACACTTCATGTCATTTCTTTAGGGCAGCACACTTCAGCAACAAGAAAAACGTAAAATCACCATTGTTCTTTCTGTTTGCAACAACATGATCTGCCATTACTTTCCCATTTTCTAATTTTATTTTCCTCCTGTAACAAAGTATTCCAAAGCCTTGTATTTTTAAATACTTGTTTTTCTAACTGGTGCCAAAAAGGAACTATTTTAATCATTATTTCTTATGAAGTATTGAAATCTTAAATACTTTCAAGACCATGGGGGGAGCTAATGTTATGCATTTTTCACTATTTTACAAACAAGTAGAGCAATATTTCCTACATTAAAGGAACACCATCATAATGTTCAGGTAGGTGCTTTCTGCCTGACCCTGGCCTACGCTAACTGTCCCCAGCTCCCTGTGTCCTGAGACTAGGCGGAAGGGGGCACTGAGCAGCCAGGGCAGGCGCATGCCAGCGCTGCCCACACGTTCGTCGTCCTTCCAAGCATCTCCGCTGCGAAGGGCCTGTAGCTCCCTGCTGCCGAGGTGGGCTCTACCCCCACGCTGCTTTGGGCAGCCGTTATCTCTTGCGGTCCTAATGCAGTGAAGTTGGCAATACCTCTGAGACATGAGAACCCGGCCTAATTCCCAGGGATTGTGGTAAGAGCCGACTCCTGCACAGCTTCATTGCTACAGGCAAACATGCCTTGGCTGTGGTTACACTGCTCAGTAGGGTTCGGGACGGTGCCAATGTCCATGGATACGGCATGTAGAGCTACAGGGCACAGGAGCTGCTGTTTGGAGAGCACCGAGCCCCGTGGCGAGGCAGGCAGCAACCAAATGCAGCAACAATGCAGCCGAGACGTCCCCCAAACTGCCAGAGCCAGGCGTTAGCAGGCACACACTGGTGATGGGACCAGTGGCGTGGAAGAGCCACTCACCTCACCTGACTCACCAGAGGTGATGGAGTAATGCTCGTGGCCTGTCAAACCCACAGGAGCAGCTGGAAGCATGAGCTGCTATTTGGTGGGGAATTTCCACATGTACACACACACACACACACACACACTAAGGAGAGGCAGTTTTGCTGTGGAAGAAAACCCAGAAAATTTCCCATCCAACAGCAAACTGAAATTTAATTTTAAAAGGATCAGAACAAGAGCTGTAAAGTGAGCGAGCTGGCAAGGAACAGTATTTTCAGGGGAACTTTGCCCAGCGTCCATTGAAAAGCGGACAAATGTAATGCATTCATGCAAGATGTCATTGTAATGTACTGAAACAGCGTTTTTGCCTGGAAAACCCTTGGACTCTGGCTGCTCTCTTCTTCCTTTCCCTTCTCTGCACGTACTCCTTAGCCTTCCAGCAACTCTGCAGCTCCCGTGGGATCCGTCAAGGGGGAGAAGATGTACAAAATGCTGGTTGGAGGTGGCAGGTTCCTGCAGGTCGTGCTTCCAGCCAAGCTGCCCTGTGCCTTAAGTGCCCAGTGGGACACAGAAAAAAGCCATCGTTCTCCAGCTCCCACTGAGCACTGGGGGGACATCACTGCCAGGTTACGAAGCATTAGCGACTCTCCCTCTTGCAGCCGGGACTGAGATGTGACAGCTGCTCTGTTGTAAGGCTTGGATCTACTCAAAGACTGAAATAGGAAAAGCTGCTATGAGGTTCTCCATAAGGGCACAGCTCTAAAAGCAGTTAAATGCCATGATTTCCGGCACTGGTCTTCAAATTACTCTTCCAGGCCCCTACTCAGTAAAGTATTTCTCACTGAATTATGGGGAATTTAAGTGTGTACTTAAGCATTTGGCTGAAGAGAGAGAGCCTGTTGAATCAGAAGAAGCTACTGAGAGCAGAGCAGAAGCCCTTAAAAATCGCGTGAGTTTTTTTCTAAAAGTATCTTACCAATAAATAAGTCCTTATCTTGTTTGTAAGAAAGAAATGCACTAAATTCCTTTCCCAAGGCTGAATGGTCCTGGAGCACATCTGCACCAAACAGAAACAAAAATAAGTTTGATTTTAGGCAGATTAAATAAGCAAATGATTATTAGTCTCTTGGCTTCTTTCTGTCTCTTTTGTCTTTTTCATTCCTCTGTTCACAATAAACCTAGTATTTTAGGACCTAATCCAAAGTCTGCTGCTGAATTTGATGGAGCGCTTTCTGCTGGCTTGAATGGCTTTTGGAGCAGCCCTGCAGACAGAGGACAGCAATATCTTTATACAGCTTTCTCATTCAGCATCTAGAGACAGGAATATTAATTATTAAAACACTGGTCCAGCACACAGCTCCCCAAAACCGTTGATATTCACTCTGCCTTGTTATTTCATTCAAAATTACAGCTTTCTGTCTGAAAATTTTCCTTAGGAAAGTAAAATCTGCAGAGACTGAACAGGCTTCCAATTTCTAGCTCATTTTTATACTCTTCTGAAACTTCTGTAACACATCACACGCAAGGATAAGTACACAAGCAATACTTGCCAAACGCTGTAATAATCCATCTTTAAAATGAACACGACCCAAATCAGAACACCCAGGCAGCAGCTACACCGGCGACGTTTGCTGCCAGAGAGTTTGTCGCTGGGGCGAGACAGCGCTGGCGAGCCCAGGGCCCAGCCGCACTGGGTGCCCTCCCCGATAAATCCAGCTCAGTAAAGCTTTTGTGAGACAAAGGAAAGCAAAATACCCCTTTCAACTAATGAAGTTTGTATGAAAGAGCTGGAACGCTTTCGCCACCGCGGCCCCGCTGCCGCCACGAGGGAGCCGGGTGGAGGGCTGGCAGGGAGCTGCTTTTCGCAGCTGCCCAGGGGACAAGCTCCTAGCCCTTCGCCACCCAGCTCCCACCGACGGTTGCCTTTCGCTCTAGTTTTCCACGTCGTTAATCGCTACTAAAGGAAATGCTAGATTTCTAGCAGCCAATAGCTTTATCACGTGAAATGAAGTGAATGAGAGAGCTCCTGAGCTCATGTCCCCTTCCCCATACGGAAAGCAGAGGGGTACAGCCGGTTCGGATTTATGTATATATTCTCGCAGTACTCAATACACACTTAGAAATCTTAAAGCAGATTGTGAGTTGTCATCTATAACTAAAATATAGAGATACATAGATATTACACAATGTGTTTTGCAAAATGAGAGAAAAACTGTTCTTTTCATGTCACCTCAATGCAAACATGATTGCTTTTGAATAGCTACTACTCTTAAAGACATACTGTCACCAGGTAAATGAATCTGCTACCCATATTTCATCATTGCAAATAAAAGAAGCAGACCAACTGGAAAGTGGATTTTTTTTTTCTTTTTTTGGAGTTGGCATGCTTAATACAGAACTAGCAGGTTTAAAATCTCGCTGAACATTCTATGCGAATTAACCAGATTTTAGTGTTATGTGAAAAGGAAAGTAATGAAAAGTACAGCTTTTCATTTAAACATATGCAACTCTCTTCATGCAAGGTTTTCTTTTAGTTTTTTTTTTTTTAATTACACTTTGCATTAAAGAATATAGCCAGTGTAAACACAGTCTGCAACACTTAAAAAACAGTGCAAATTTTTTAAATTTCTGGGAGGGAGTTGAAACACATATATTCATACTGGAGGTAAAGTCACTTTCTCTGTAGAAAAATATGTATATTAAACACCTACAGGTTCTGAACTTAACTCCACAAAAGAGCAAGTTCTAATTCCATATTGTGTAATAAATTAATATCATTGCTAGATTTCCATGTTCTGTGTTTGTGTCAAACGCATAATAATGCTAGAAAAACAACAGACAAACACATATTATTTAGAAATTAATGAAAACCTTACAGATAATAACAGGTATAAGAGGTCACAGAATAAAGAACTGGGGAAAGAAGCAACGGAAAAAATACTGAACCTCTATGGATTATTGCACATTTGAGATCTTTCTCATGGCCTTTAGGCCCATTCTGAATTCTTTAAGTCTTAGGCCAGTGTTTGTTTCCATTTAACTGCAGGGTACAATTTAAGAACCACTGCAAAATGTTAAGGATTTACTGGACTCGTTTGCTGATTGAACCACAGGCAGCTGTGTGCAGAGCGCTAACTTTTACTCATGCAATCAAAGAGAGCGACACTAAAAAGGTACAGAAATACACCAAGGTTACCTGCCATAAAAATATTTTGGGGGACTTGCTCCAGCAGATCTCACGGAGACAAAACTCTCACGTCCATTGTGTTTTTGTCAAAGCTTTACTAAACACTGCAAAACTGGCTTCTGCCTTCATTATTTAGAACTTTTCCCTTGAATACTGTTGTCTCCATGGTCTGTCTCTGCAACCCTTAACCATCCGAGCATGTAAATCCTCATGAAAAATACCAGCTGGAAGAAAACTTGACTCACTGAGTAGTAATGCATGACGCTGAGTACCTGCGTAACACTTGCCATCCACACACAGCAAGAACGCTTTCCGTGAAAGATAAATGACCGTATCCTCATTTTACTGATGGGACCGCTCACGTAAGTGAGAAATGCAAGACCTTACCAGCTGCTTAAAAACATCACCTTTTACTAGTTGCACAGAGAGCAGAAATATTCCTGTTTCAGCCATATTTAAAAGGTACATAAATTGACAGGTAGATAAACAGAGAGAGAACTGTCTCAGGTGATTATCACTGCAATTAAAGTCAGACTGCTAATAAACCTAAAAAAATTTAGCACTTTGTTTCTGCGTATTGCTGTAGTAATTATTTTCTATTGCTGTCATCCTCAGTAAAAGGTTAATTTTAAACTGTAACTATTGATTTTGGAAAAAAAAAAGAGCCTATCTAAAATCACATTGCCTTTACTACAAATCTTAAAACAGGTCAAGAGATCTTAGGAAATTTCAAATCAATGAATTTACTAACAGACAGATAAATTTATACTTAAACTGTTTAAAAAATGCCATTAAAAATCTGCAAAAATTGTGAAATAATCTATAATCCACACAAAAACTGTTTAAAATCCTTCTAAACTTCTTCCAGTATTCTGACGAGTTTTTTAATAAAAACACATTGCTAAATATTGACTAGGAGTACAACATGCCTCAATAATAAAATGAAGAGATGCTGATGTGAGCAGGTGATTTACTCTGCAGTAACTTTTACTATGCACTTTATTGATAAAGCTGGTAGCTCTTCATCTGCATTGTTTCAGCTGGTCATTTACTACAACATATTTGTGAGACAGTGTTACCGGGAAGGTTTCCTCCTCCTTCCTTTTAAGAATGGCTCATCCCTTGGGGTCTATGAAGGAGATAATTTTTGTAGCATGATATGATACTAGAATTTCCAATCTGTACTGAAGTTTATATGAAAAAATTCAGCAGCTTCTGTATGTTTCAGTTACTATTACATAAATATGGATGTTGGAGATCCTATACAGTGAACATTTATCCATCCCAGATTGTAAACCTACTGTAAAACGATGGGATGTGATTTTGTTCTCCCCCCTTCCTTTTTAAGGACCAATAAAACTGTACATTGAAGGATAGGAAGGACATTATTAAGTTACAAAAAGAACGTCCCCTTTGTCAAGAATTTGTAAACGTAAACAAAAAAGTTCAAGTAGAAAAGCAAGTGAGTGTGCCGCTGCTTCAAATGTATTTTGACACCCCCTGGGGCTAGGGCAAAGTTCTCTAAAAACGTGTCTTCACGGTGGTCATGAGTTCTGATCTTCACTACCAAATATCGCTGGTGAAGCTAAGCTCCTGTGCTGATAAAGGTAGCAACGGGTTGTTCCTGTGAAACTCTTGGGGATCCTTCACGGTACTGTTAAGAGGTAGCTGTCCATTTAGTAGTGTCAAAGGTATGTTACAGTATGTGTGATGGTTACTTATGGAAGCTACTGGCAATGTTGCTGCTGACACATCGTATTCGTATCCTCTGCAATAATGCCTCATTTGCACAGAATCTGCTTGATGGTAATCAGTTAAATCAGATCGCGATTCTACCAACGTGGCAGAAGTGCCTGTGACAGCAAGAGAGGGTACAGTCTGGAGGTCTCCAAAAAGGCCCTGTTCTGCAGAATCCAGGACCTGACGCCGAGACACCACCTCCTTTTTCTTCCCTGGCATTTCAAAGACTAGGCGCTTCCAAAACTTAGAATTCAGTTTGCTGCTTTTTGGTCCTTTCCACTTGACCACTGAGAGAAGTTTGATGGTGTGCTTTAAAGATTCCACTTCGTGATAATTCACTTTCCCTTTTAATTCAGTACACTCAATCAAAATAACTTTGATTTCTCCACTGACTAGCATGTTATGGAGTCTGTTTTCCATCTCAAAAATACTCCATCCTCTCCTGAGAACATAGTCTGGAGTTAACACGATAATGAGTCTTCTGCTTTGCTCAACACATCTTGTGAGATCTTCAATGTAGGCTACAAATTATAGAAAGAGAGAAAGAGTAAAGAATAAAGAAGTCTATTGTATCAAAACATCAGGCTTGCAATTAAGTATAACAAAATCCTATAGCTTACTGCTCCACAAGGGGACAAGGGGTATTTCACAATATACTCCAACAAAAATAGGATTGCATATCACAACACATTTATAGAATACATATAGAAAACTCCTTAGTAACACCCTCTGTCCTTCACTGTTCTCCCCGTTCATCTCAACACAATGACATTTACATAATATCCTCGCTGTGTAGATGCATTCGAGTGACTAAAAATAATAGAGTTCACTTACTGAAAAATTATAGTTCAAGATGAATGCAATGTTTGTGTAAATTTTAACATTAACACTGGTTATGATTCAAGTCGCACTGAGGGAAGCACGCTTTGGGAAGCAGTTCTCGTGTTTCAGATGCAGGACATGAGGATGCTGCAGAGTGTACAACGTGTAACTAGCAAGAGCTCAAGAAGAAATCGGCCCTTATCACATGCAGAAATTGTGCTATTGCATAGAAACATCATGGTAGCTCTTTCTTCTTTAGGTATTGACTGCAAAAGCACAATATGATTCTTGATGGCCCAATGGTCTGTTTCAATATTGCAAACCTGCGCTTCTACGTATCCAACGTATGAACAGAAACTTCACAAGTGACGGGAACAAATGGGAAATTTAAGCATACTGGAGGTGTTTATTTTCTGAGACATAAGTGATAAAGAAAATAGCATTCTTCTTTTATTCATGCACGCCAAGTAGTTGCAAATGATCAGTGTAAGCAGAAATGCTAGCCCCATCATTAGCTCCGTGATGTCAGCTTACTGAACTGCAAAATATTCTTGAAGTTGGACTTTGGTTTTTGGTCCTGAGTCTCCCTTGTCCCAAGGATGATAGGGAAAAGATGCCAATTACATCGGTCTGACATGGAACACGATGGGAAAGAGGTCTACTCACAGACCTGATCCAAAACCCACTCAGATGAACAGAATTCAGTGAATTTCAATGGGTTTTGGGTCAAGCCCAGAAAAAGGTAAATATTTGAAAAAAATACTAAGGTCAGAAAAGCATTCACTGGTTGCCCAGCACTGTGATTGCAACTTAGAAGCAGGAGATATATATATATGTATATATATTTATTTTTTTAACTAGATGAGCTTCTTGAGCATGCTACTCAGGATGTGCTGTCCGACAGCAGAGGAGAAGCACGGGTTATAAATGAAGACTTGGACACAAGAGCTGCACAGAACAGATCTTTACTCAGCACAGGGCAGGGCCTCGCTTACACACACTGCCCTCTAGCAGGAACAACGATTACAAATAACAGCATTAATCAACATCTGTTACTGCAAGACTTATTTTTATAGTCCCAGGCACCATACCACAGCATGCTTATTCACACCACTTCCAGTAAAGTAATCAGCTACAAAATAGACCAACAGAATATTTTAAAATAGCTTATTTTCATAAGACTGAAGGCATAGTTAGCATAAAATCTGCCTTTACCAACGTTTTATTTCACCACTTAGCAGCAAGAAGAATTTCTTTCACAAATGGAAAAAAGGCAATTGTAAACATCCTACAGACAGACAAATTTAAGACATACACATACATTACAAATGTCTATGCAACAATCCTGACTTTTAGTTAATGTTTTATGATTCTTTAATCATGCAGCATTTACAGTTATTTGATTTTTCTTCTTAAAATATTTTATGAGGAAAACCCCCACATTGCTCTGTGTAAAACGTTTACTCATTAATGAAAAAAATTCAACATTAAAATCCATGGGAGAGGCAGTGGAGTGGGGAGAGAATCAGCAACAACGAGAAAATGATAAGCAGAACTGGTGAAACAAAACTTAAGGAAAGGTAGAAATGTTCAATACAATGGAAAGAGATTATCCCAATGTATCAACAGCTCAGACTCTTCATTTTCTTCCTTTCTTTCTGCTCCCAAAAAGAAAGAATTTAGGTGGGAAGCTTCATCATTAGAGGTTGAATCTGCAAGATACAGTAAAACAACAAACTATCATGCATCTTTCCTGAGACATATTCATCCCTCCTTCAAGCAACTCAGAATACTGCTATGCACAAGACAATTCTCTGCAGGACACAATACCATTCAGTACCACATATCCAGGTCAGTGCTAAGCACAGCCATGCTTATACTATGCGCATCTACTGGGAGGAAAAAAAAAATCACTACATGTTCATCTCTCTAAATACCTAGTGGCAATAATTTTAATAGCAACAACCCATCAATAATCCATCATACCAGCTCAGCCAAAAACTCACCAGACTTTGCTTTAGTTGAATAGGGAGTGAGGTAGGGGGAAGGTAGGAAAAATTCCCTAGTTTCCCGGATGGACTCTTCTCCCCTCTCTGCTTCTCCCATATTTTGCTACGCCCAGCTTAATTACTGGATAATGCAGCAATTACAAGCTTTTTTTTTTTTTTTTTTTTTAAAACAGATGACTACATAGGACACTTCACAAATTACTGCTAGGTGCTCTTTTAAACTCCCAGGCTTGCAACTGGCTCCCTGATAGACATGGCCTGTGTACAGGGCTCTGCTGGTGCACTGAGGATGAAATACACTATATTACACACAGCTAGAAGCCCAAAGGAAAGGCAAACAGCTTTTCAAGCCATCTGACCCAGAAGCACCGAGTATTCCCAATAAATTTAGCTTGTGACTACCATTAAACCCAGGGAGAACTGAATGGCTGAAACTTGATGTGTGGCTGAAAAAGTACCTCTTGGTTTTCACCTACGAAGGGAAGGAAAGGAGCTGATAGCTTCCCCGGAGCGCATGCTTCTGTTGCATGCACTCTAGAGTATGCCCAACGGGTGTAACCACAATATTTCTGCAAGGTAAAGCAAAGGGGGGCAGATTCTTGTCTCACTAAAGCCTGCAGGAGCTTAACCTCAATTTGCAGCAGGACCGCACTGACAGCATAAATCTGTGAGTTGCTGCATCACTTGCCCTCCTTTCACTTCCGAATTAGAGGCTGCTCAAAATACTGCAGCTTGAGTTGTCTATCTTTACGTGGTTAGTTCATCAGAAGCTATTAAATCCAGGCTATCTATATGGCAAGTTAGGATGGAGAGAGTTGCCCTTGCCTTTCTATTGAGTATTTGTCAAGCAATGGCTTTGTTTCAACTAAGAAATCAAGGAAAAAGTGAGTAGGACTTCAGGATTTAAATCACCAATTAGCATCAACTAGAAAAACATATTTCTATCAGATAATGTAATTTAGTTGAAACTTCATTTTTCCCCAAAAAAGTTTTCAACTACTATGAAATTTCATTGCAGGGGGAGAAAAAGTCACCTTGACGAGGTCAGCATGGAATCATTCATTTTTATTTTCCAAAATGATATTTCTTTTAATTTTTAATTCTATCATAAACTATAACATAAAATAAAATGTCAGTATTAGAATTAACCCACCTGATTTTTTTGAAAAAGAACATTTTAATTTCAACCCAATAATATCTGTTTTTCTAAAACACCATTTTTGAATATGGCACCACACCAATTTTCAAAATGCTGGAATTTCTCATAGGTCAGAAAGTCAGAATTTTGGGCAACTCTATCAGTAACTTACTTGCATCATGTCCAACGTGATATCCAAAGATGTATGGAGAGCAAGAACCTTTAGACTCATGAGCAAACATGACTTTTTGCATGGTTGCCCTTCAGTAATGAAGACAGATCACCTAACAGCAAGTATATATTCACTAGACACTGTCAACACGTAATGATGCCAAACTGTAGTTTGAAGCACTGAAGAACAGAAGTCTGAAACATACATTACATTTGCAAGAGCTTAACCATGCAGAACTGCCTACTGAATCTCAAATGAGCTACTCTAACCACAGGCTGGAAGGAGACCCAGACAACCTACTGTGCAAGCCGACTGACAGCAAGAAAACTAGTGAACACCATGGAGACAGAGGTGCTTACACAAAGAAATGACTGGCTAACCAGCTTCAGACGATCTGCAGAAGGAATTGAGGGAGAGAGAAAGAACACCAAGATTTGTATCAAGTCTTACTGCTATTTCTGGGAAACGCGATCAGCAGCACCACAAGGATCAAAGAGTATCTACCATCAACCATACCAGCTGGCTCCTGCTACCCTGTACATAACTAGCTTTGCTGCATTGGGCAACATGACTATCACTTGAGAAAGAGTTATTTACAGAAGAATAATTCAGTCCTGATTTACTAATGGAATGGTCCTCAAACCCTAATTCTGGATATCTCATTACAGCAGAAAGGGTTAAATGTCTTGTTTTTCTTATTATTAAATATGTATTACTTGTGCTAGCTCAGGCCACAACAGCAGTAATGCTGACACTGCTGAAACACAGAACAGAGTGATGGTCCCTGCCCCGGGAGGCATAATCCCTGTATAAGCTAAGGGACAGCTGATAAGTACAATATAAAGAAACAAGTAAAGCAGATCAGCATGACGCACTGCCCTCTCAGCATACCACTCACTTAGCCATTACCAAGCTTTTTGTATTCAACATAGTAAGGGGCGGGGGGATTAAGGAGGAGAAGGAGAAGATGGCTCTGGGGATGTCTCCTTGCATAGGCTGCATGGGAGAAAGACTCAGGGGTCTGAGATTTTAAGTTTGGTGATAGATATCAGCATCAAACTTCCTGATATTTAGCATCATGGACTGATAGAACAAAGCAGGTTGGAAGGCACCTCTGGAGGTCTCTAGGTCAATCCCCTGCCCAAAGCAGGACTAAATTAGGTAAGGTTGCTCAGAGCCTTGTTTGGTTGAGTTATGAAGATCTCCAAGGTTGGAGATTTCTCAGCCTCTTGGGTTCTGCTCCAGGGTCTAACTACTGTCATGGTGAAGAAATTTTCCTAATATCCTAATATTTCCTAACTGGAATTTCTGATGTTTCAGCTTTTATCCGTTACCTCTTATTCTATGACTGTGCGCCTCTGACAAGAGTCTGGCTCCATCTTCTCCGCACTTTCCCATTGAGAAGACAATAAGCTTCCTCCTTGGCCTTCTCTTCCTTGGCCCTTTCTTTAAGGAATGCAGTTCTCTCAGCCCTTCCCTGAGCATCTTAGTGGCCTGCAGCAGACCACTGCAGGGCAGCCAGCCTGTCCAGCTGATGCTAAAGAAAGGGCTTTTGTTCAGTTTTCTTCCACTTGCAATTGTCATTCCTCTGTATTTCCTTTTTTTTTTTTCACCTCATGCACTGGCATAAAGTGGGATATTCATTAAGGATAGACTGCCAGGGATTTCTGAAAGGAGCCTGTGGTGTTAACTGCTCTATGCCCATTCCATATTAACGGGGTCATATACCTAATTAAGACTCCTTGGGAACCCCAACACACAGTCCAGTTGCTTTTTTTCTGTCCAGGACCGTGGGAAGCTGGAATTCACCAGTAAGGAGAGCCACAGGCAGGCAGACAAAACTGCAAAGGGCCAGAATGGCAATGTTGACCTTTGGATGCCTCTCATCACATGCCTGAGGTGCTCTCCTGGGGTGCTGCCAACCTCTCACTTTCCAGGTAAAAGCAGACGTTTTTATTCCATCACTGCTGTTCTCTTCAGTGCCTGATCTCTATACCCTGGGCTGAGCTGGAGTGAATTGCTGGTGTGCTTTCAATACAGTCAAGATCAAATGCACGTATGCTTAGAGAGCAACTTGTTGCTGCTCTAATAGACTTGTATTGCTGGTATTAAAGGTACAACTCGACAATCTTGACCTCTTCACTTTCAGGGTTTAAAATCACTTGCAGAAACAACAGGAGGAAAATATCTTCTTCTAATGTAGTCCCAATTTTAAGAGAGCCAAGTGCTAATGCATCATTCTCTTTCTGTAGACACATCATCCTTAGCAAGACAGCAAACGACTTGGGTAAAAACATACTAGTCCTATCTTTCCCCCAACTATTCAGTCTCCTCAGGTCTTCTAACACTGAGTTAAAAAGCTCCCAGGGTTTCTGAGTCTAGCTGGCTGTGGGAAAGGGTTTGTTAAAAAAGCCCTGAAAACTAATAGGGTGGAAGAAAGGATAATTGCAAAAAAACTTGAATAACAACTGCAGCTCTATCACAGTCTCGTTCTCCCAGCTGGCACGGTCATTTATGCTGCAGGCAGCTAGGCAGAAGGGTATACGTGCTGTCAGCTCTGGGAGAGCAGAGGACTGTCTTTCTGTTACGACCAAAGAGGATTCTTTAACAGCGGGGTCGCGGGGCTTCCTGCGTGAGCGGGGCTGCTGGAGCCCCGTGCGCACCTCCCGGCCCCGGGCACGAGGAGCTCCCTCCTGCTAGGGCAGAACACTCCGCTGCAGTAATACTCACATCCCAGCTTTGCAGGGCCCACAAACCAAAGCCCATTGCAAACGCCACCGAGCCCAGCCCGCCCTGCCCGCCGGAGCCCCGGGAGCTGCCTTCCAGCAACGAAGCGGCACTTTGGCCCGAGAGCCGCGAGCTCCCTCCTCTCAGCGCCAGGACCAGCTACAGTGATGCTCCCCTGAAAGGGCCCATCCCCAGCTCGGAGCCGAAATACAGAGCTCGGATACGCAGCACTGAGGAGCTCTCTGCTGGGGCTGAGCCCTGGCTAATGCACATCTGCCTGTGATCTCTCCCCGGGCTGCACAGGGAGATGCAGAGGCTATCAGAGTTTTCCCCCAAAGGTTAGAGATGAACCAGCTGGAAAAAAATATAATCAAACTTGTCCCTGAATTTTTGTGGGGTCAGCTTTTCAGTTTGTTCAGAAAAGTCTCCAAGAAAGATAAATGAAATACTATTTAACACATGTATTTTTTCCTTGCTCTCAAATCCAAATAGCAGCTGCACGCATTGCTTCACGCTGGGTAGCAAGCGCAATAATGCACACCCTCCTGTGGCAGTACCTTAAAATTGCAGAGATTATACGAAACAACCAGCTGTACAAAACACACCTTATTTACTGAGCTACTGGAATCGCATACATTTGAGCAAAGGTGTAGAAGGAAACTCAACAGAACGGCGAAGGGAAAGCTTTACCACATTACAGTGACAGACGCTTACACCAAAAGACAAGGAAATGCAAGACATGAGGGAAGAGACGTTTCCTAAAACTGAAAAAGATCATTACTATCATCCCCCTCCTTTTTCCATAGAAATCTAACCTAAAGAGCTACATGTCTTGTCACACCTGCCACTTTCTGAAAGACTCTCTCCATAGGATTTTGCTTGCTTATCTCTCAAGTTCCTAGGAGGCCAATACCTTGTCACCCTCTCTTCCCTGCTCTCTTCGCAGCACGTCCTTGCAAGACAAGGAAACAGCCGCGTTCCAGGTACCTGCCGTGCTCCGAGGGGCCCGGAGAGCTTTTAAAAACAGCAGTCTGGCTCTTCCCTCCTTCCCTGTCGCCTCTCCCTCTCTTCTGCACCCTCAAAATAAAGTGTCTTTCCCCATATCCTTTTCAAAGCCAAAGCATGCAAATCATACTCATTGCAGACACACGTTTTATTCTGCGTTGCCATTAAGCCTGATGAAGCGTTCTCGAAGCTCGAATGTTAGAATCGGGCCCTTTCACAATATCGCAGAAGCGAGTTTGAGAGGCAAAACAGAGGAATCAAATCTGTGGATGCTCATAAATGGGAACTGACATTTTCAGGTACCCTACATTTTCCAGAGAAGTTTAATGAATACCCAAAGCAATGACATGAATTTGCTGAGTGTCTGACTGACAAAAATAGACAAAAATAAAATATCTCGTTGATACAGCCACTGGAAGGAAGAATCCCGTTTCAGATTAATCTGTACCTCAGTACAGTTATCACTGAAAGGCTAGACTTAAACTCCTTAACTCACTTTGTGTAATTGCTACATATAACTCCGCTGTATTGTTGGATAGGAAACACAACTATTTACTACAGTTCTGCGATTTTTAACGCAAAAAAGACCTATTTTCTCTTAATTGTACCTAATAATTCAGCATCACTTGCTTGCACTGACAGAGCTGAAAAGGCCACGAGCCCAGTCCCCTTTCCGAAACACCCCACGCCAGGGGACTAACGGGGTAACACTAGCACCTCATCGGGGCAGGGCGAAACGCCGAGGGGAAAAAGCTCTAACCTCAGAGCTGCAAACGCAAACGATAAATTCAAGCCACTACATGAGCCTTTGCACAATCCCTGACTGGGCTCTAGCGTCTGTCTCCCAGAGGGGACAGCTCAGAGCTCTGCTTCCAGCTCCCTGAAATGTCGGAGAAGGAACAGGCTCCAGGTTCTGGGGCAAGGGCAGCAGCTTCAGGTCTTTGGCAGGCAGGCTGCAAACGCAGCCACGTTATAGCTGTTCTCGTTTGGGGACATCTGCTCCAGCACAGCCATCGCTTTGTTTTCTTGTTCAGATTTCTTATATTCTAGCATATACAGAGAGAAGTTCATGCTCTCTTCTAGCATTTTTCACATAAGCGATCTGCAGACAGAATTCATATAAAAAGGTGTATTTCCCACATCGGTAGCGTTTCAAATAAGTGTGGTATTAAGGTAAACATACTGTGCATGCAGAATTCAGCAAGATGATGCATACTGTTCAGGGTCTTTTTTGACTTGTCCAAAGCGAATCTGGAAAGGGAGATGTCATAACTGCAGCTAAGGAGGTATTAGCTTTGTTACACACATCCGAAGGTGCTGCAGACTCTTCCCACGCTGCAGCAAAACTGACAGAAAATGGACTACTGTATTTCACCATCAGTGTGGAAAACAACATCATATCACTGGGCTGTACGTAGCCCTCTGAGGAACTAGTATTACTTACACACTGCCTATTGCTTACACAATACCGACACCATTTAGAAACGCAACTGTTGGTCAAAACCCTAACCAAAAACCCTGCATGTATACCATTAACTGGGAACTAAAGTACCACTTTGTGACACTTCAAAGATAGGAAATAAACAAGACTAAACGGGAAAGAAGACTTTTATACTTGTACAGCTGCTGTGGACAAACAAATAATTACTGAAAAAAAATCCCATTTTCATTGATAAAACAGAGATTACAGAATCTTTTTCGAAAATCTCCTGTTTAGCTACCTGTGCCTGACACAGAGGTTTTGGACGACAGTTTGCTGCTCCTTCCCCTTGGAGGTCCAGCCCCTGCCTCCACTGAAACCAGCGGCAGCTCCCCTTCGCTTCCAGCGGTGCAGGAACAAACTCGGACTTAGAGCTCCAGTTTGCAGTACTGAGGAAGCTCTCCCAAACTGGCAGCCGCTTCACAAAGAGAGGTTTTCCACATCTAGAATTTACTGTGCAGTCCAGGCCTTCATAACACTTCAGGGAGGGTTACAGCTCAAAAGTCAGAAATACTTACTTCCGCTAGGAATCAGGTCCCTATCCGGAATGAAGAGCTTATATCCGTAGTGCTTTTCCAGAACATCGGGCAGAATTTCAAGCGCAAACTGCTCCTCGTCGTTATTAACACAGTCTAAAGCATCAGGATCCACTTTGGTGTATGAAAGATATGCATCATATTCCTTGTTGTCTGTAAGAAAACAATATCACGCTCAGCCTGTTGCTTGCAAAAGCACCATATAAAGAGTACAGGGCAGTTCTAGGAAACTGTATTCTTGCTAGAAATGATCAAGCATTCCCCAATAAAATTGTTTCAACAAAGCCAGTAACATACAACCTGGCTTCCACAGAGACGTTCCCTCAGATCCAGACGAAGGATCTCCTTTCAGTTTTCTGCTGCACGTTGTGTTAAGTAGTAACTCTGTCTCACGTGATCAGTGTAGGCATTTGACACTGCTTCACGTCTGAAAAGACCTTGGGCAAAATCCTGATACAAATGTGAAGCTGGGACTTAAAAAAAAAAAATAGTCTCTCTATATATCACTAATGTAAGTTTTTATTTAAGCCTCAACTCCTCTGCCTCAACAGTGCTACGATTATGGGAAAGTTTTGAGCTTTCACTTAAAGAAAGAAATAATCTTTGCGGGTGTAACTGTGAGAAAACATGACGTGAACATACGACTCAAGTGAATACTAATTCTGCAGAGAACAATGACAAATATAACTGAACCAACGCGTTCTTTCAGAAACCCTGGCAGGCTTTAAAGCCAATGCCATAATTTTGGAGGTCACTTGACCCAGGCCATTCTAAAATATTTGGGCCTCTCAATACAAGAGCTGGAAACACATCCGGGAGCACAGGGGGTGCAGGGAGGGACTTGCCCCGGCACGGTGCCTGCAGCTCACGCCCGGCCACGACGCGGGCAGGCACTGGGCCACAGAGGAGGCCCGCGCAATGGCACACACTAGAAAGGGCAACCTTCCTCCTCCTCCTTCTCTGAGGTTTGCCTCCAGCTCTCTGCATCCGACACGCAGAGCCAAGAGCCAGCGACCCAGCTGGGACCCTGCAGCATCAAGACTGGGGAGTAAGACATAGGGATTCATGAGAAGGCGAGGAGTCTAAGGCCTTCGCGCACACCCTCCGGTGAATCCACACTGGGATCAGACTTAGTAGCATTTTTCTTTGTTATTCCCTTGCAGTAATGGAAAATAGTATATTGGAAAAGTCAACCTTCAGCAATCCAGCCTCTTGGGAAGAGCACAGCTGCCATTATTTACAGAAAATGAAAAATCAAATAGTTAATGTTGTGAGAACAAAACTGCATGAACATAGGATGGCTGAGCACCAATTATCCCTAAAAAAAAAAAGCACACATGATAGATAATTAAAGCAGTTAAAACTCATCAATACATTCTGATAAAAAGAAGAAAAAAAACTAATCATAGTACAATGCATTCTTTGATGACCTTGCAGTGATGGTTACTTTCTTATTATTCTTTACACAAAGCCAGACCTGTGCGATTCACAGCAATAGAAAGCACGTGAATAATTACACCTCTGCAAAAGGCAATTTGCCTAGTATCATGAGAGCAGGATGAGAGGAGGTCCACCTGGCTTGCTGGTATTTCTCTGAAATCAACAGCTTGCTAAAATGGCAGTTATTGATGGAAAAATGACAGAAGAACAAAGAGCAAACACACAAAGGCCAGGCAGCTTTGAAGGCCTGTCCAAAACCTGCCATCCCTGTCAGTACGGGAGCCTGCCAAAAGAGTTTATGAGAAGCCCTCCATCGAGGGATCAGGGAGGCAAAACCCCTGCAAAGGTGTGAGAGCTCTACAAAAGCAGCAGAGCAAACCCCAGCGTGCTGACGTGGCCGGTGATAAAGCACCGGCAGAGCCAGGCTTTCCAACAAAGCCGGATGCAGGCTGGAGACTGTGAGCGATCCTGGTGCTTCCTATTCCCCCAGCTGTGTGGGTGCAGCAACCGCCCCCACCAGGTGTTTTCCCTGGCAATGCAAGCAAGAGGCTGCCAGGATGCAAGAACCAGTTCCCGGGGGTTCTAGTGAGTCCATACGCTTACGTTATACCCCTACAGCCTTGCATGCTTCTTCACAAGCCTCACCTAGGTGGCACATTAGCAGAAGGACCCATCCACGCTAGTCCACCACTGGATCTGTGAGGTTCAGATGCTGCCCTATCTGGTGACAGTTTCTAGGTGGCTTCCCCTACTCCTCAGTACTGGCAAAACATTTTCTCTAAAAACAAAGCTACGCATGACACAGGAAGTGAATCACTTCCCCAACACCACTTACATAGGGTATTTTTAGTAATAAAGCAAATCTGTTGAGTTCCAAATCTTCTGTTTTAAATAAATACGTGCATAACCGAGACATGGTCCTGCAACAGGATCGATACAGCTGACCACTCATGGCAACTGTGCATGTTCCCACTATAGCCTGCATAGGTACAAAGAAACGTCCCCACAGATGCCTGGGCTTCTGTAATATTCCGCCTCCATGTTTCATTCTGCACGATCAGAATAAAACACTGGGCTAGCATGGTTCTAAAATCACGCACTGGAAAAATGAAAGGTTGTTTTCAGAATTAATGTGCACACAAAATCACCTATGTACTCACAGAGCTTTCTCTAAGCAACTAGGAAACAATACTCTTTCAAAAATGGACCATACAAAAAAGTTACATCAATAAAAATGCAACAGCTTCATACTGAAAATACTACATAAACAAACCAAAGCAATCTGCAGGAAGTTGACACTTTGGGTCACTCTTGGCTGGTGTGAACCAGGGAAGTCATGCTGGTACAAACCCATGGAATTAGAGGTAAACTACAGCTAAAACACAGAATCCCACTTTTCATCTTCCCCCGGTGTGAGTATCAGGATAACTACCGATCAGAAAAGCTACAGTATGAAAAGAGTACATTTTTGTATTTTCCTACTCGCACATAAAGATACATAGAGAGGAAATCTCCTGACTTCTGTCTCTGCTGTTTACCATTCCACAGTCTGAAAGCCACTGGATGACGTTGTGCCCATCCTCCAAAGCTCCCACAGATTTCATTGCAGCCAAACTTTTTCACACCATATCCAACTAGTGCTTAGCAGAAAAGTTTATTATTTTGATAATGGTAATGCTAACTGCAGAAAGCAAGAGGTCTGTGCAATTGCACATTGTTTTGCGCAATGGGGGAAATGTGTTCCCTGCTCCATTTTCAAATGCATTCTTGCTTTCAGATACACCATTCAAGATCGCCTACGTGACTCCTAAGTATTGCAGTGGGCAATGAGAAGTAGCAATATTTTACTATTCCACTTCAGCTCTGTAGCAGATCCTAATTATATGCACATTAATAATATATTAATTATAGTGTAATATTAACATGTTAAGAATATAGCAAACGATGCAAAGCACTTGGGTTTGGTTAACCACTACTTACTCCAGCTTCATAGGAGCAAGAATGTATGATATTCCTAGCAATTGAAGCTCCAGTTTAAAAATACATGTTTAGCTTTAGACACAGGACAGACTATATGTTACTAAAGGGGGGAGGGGGGAGGAACACTGAAAAACATCCTACCTTATTCCTAAACATAGACTCCAGGCAATCTGTACACTTCTATTAAATTGTTTTCAGACCCCCCCAATTAACTGAGTTAACTAGTTAACCCCAATAACAATTGCCCCTCACTAGTTACCACTGTTAGTCAGTGGTCTGAAAACAATTTAATGGGAACGTATAGTGAAAAATATCTAGTGAAAGTCAGCCTCAACACATGAGTATGCGCTCTCAGGAGCAAGTGAGCTTGGGCAGATGTCAGTCAGTCCATGTTGCCCAGTGCCACATGTGAGGAGTTTTCCTGAGGAATCAGGTCACAAACTGTATTCAAGCCTCTCTAATAGACTTCTGAACACCTCTTCTCACTCCTGTTTTCTTATGGCATGACCCAGCGACACTTCAGTGAATAGGCTCACTGATTGCAGCGGGCTTTGGGAGAAGGTCTTAGGGCCTTACACTGTTGGGTGCTAGGTAGTTTTCACTTAAACTGGTGTCAGCTTATCTTCTGGGATTCATTTCAGTCCACAAGTTTCATTGCTTTGGGCCTCTGAAATCTTTCCCCGGGGTATATTCAGTTCCCTGAGAAGCTGCTTACCATCCGTCGCTTCGTCTCCTCCGAAGTTCTGCCGGTAGAACAGCATCAGCTCTATGTTGTAGCACTTATAGATGGTCACGAGCAAAATAAGCAGAAGAAGGATGGCTCCCAATCCTCCAGCAAGCTCTATTTTGTAAATCAAATCTAAAATTAGCAAGGAAAAACAGAAAGGTTATGATCTTTCCAAACTTTAATTGCTCTAGTCCATTGTACAATTCCACATACAATTGCACAGCTTCCTGTTAGAACCACTGTAACACTAAGGATGCCTAATTTTTTGTTCATTACCTGTTACTTAACTTTACCCATTTACACTCCTTCTACTGCCAATCTGAAATTGCCATCCAGAGGCATTTGAGGCTATAATCATAATTCTTCTGCAAGGGAATTATGTAGTGATTTTACACTGAGGATTAATCAATCTTTAATGAGCTTGCAGAGTTTGAATCTTCTGTCTTGGCAAAGTGCATCTAATGCTGTATGCAGCATGTGAGAATAGATATACCAGACATATTCCACCCGGGAGACTCTAGTCCCCCAAATAATATTAAACTTTGCTTTCATATCAGCTGATGATTTGATGTGACCTGCCAAGCCAGGCCTTCAGCTGAATCACTGGAGAATTAATTGAGCATCTAGAGTACCCAAGATAATGTGTGAAGCCAGAAGCACACATCCAGCTGCTAAGAACTACTTTGTCTGAGTTGTGATGGCTACTAACAGAGTTCCCGCATGTTTGTTTAGTACACATTACATTTTAATGGGAACCAGCACTAGTTAAAATTTCCTACTGGGATGCTTTTGTTAGGAAACATCACAAACGGTCTGTCTCACAGCACTTCATAAATTCATTCAAACACAATTATCCATCTTTTTGCTGGGGAAACAGAGGCATAATAAAGCGAAGTAATGTGTTCAAGGTCATTCAGCAAACCAATGACAGAACGAGATAAAAACCCTTAAATACCAATCCAGTGCTCTACCTGACATCAGACACTAACTTTCACAGTATTGTTCCTTAGCCTGAAATGTCCTCTGAAAATAATATTGCTAGTAACACCAGTTGGCGCATTACATAGCCATAAAAGACACAAGACGACAGTTTCACTATAGCTACTCCCAACAGCCTATATTAGTTTAAATAAGATGTCATGAAGATGTTTACTGCTGCGATAAATACAATGTGAAGATGTAAAAACTATAATCCTAGAGAGAGATAAAGTTTTTGTGATCTTCATGCTTCTAAAACTTAGGTCAGAAAAAAAATCACTGGTATGTCATTTGTGTCATCTTCAAGACAAAAAGAACATTAGCTATGTATCTTTTGGGGTTACTCTTGCCTTCCCATGCCTTGTATTTCAATAATTAACATCAGATGTCAAGTTATTCCCAATTTACAGTATCTCTGATGTCTGTCTGATAAGAAGTCAGGGACTAATAGATGGAAAAAGTCTAATATAATAGCTATTTAATCTCCCTGAGAACACAGGAAATTCATAGGACTTTTACTGTCCTGCACGGTAAAGTTAGCATATGCTCTTGGGATAAATCTGGTCAAATGGAGAGCAGAGTTGGTTAAAGTTATTTTTCAGTGAAAAAGCAACTTTTTATGTTGTACTGAAAATTTTCTGCCGGGAAATCGGAATTAGTGCAAGACAGCCAGCTTAGAAAGAGAAAATGAAGAAGGGCATTCAATTCTGACCATCTAAATTGACCTACGCTACCTTGCAGAGTAAAGGTCCAAGGACAGAGCCTTTTGTATAGATTGTATTATTATTATGTTGTATAGATTTCCATCGTCTTTCTAATACTCATCCTTCGGCCCCATAACTCCCCTCACCTCCAGACTTAAGAAGACAGGAACTGTAGGCTTTTGAGCTCCTTATTTCTGTTCTACAGTGGAGGCAATGGAGAAAACGCTCAGTTTTCTTGCCTCTCCAGCTCTTGGATACTGCCTCTGATTAATGCCTTTCTCCTGAAGTAGTTCTCACTGAAGTCAATAGGAAAGGCAGTCGAGTAAAACCCAAGAAAGGAGCTGAATCTGGACTTTTGCCATAATAGTGACTGAAAGTAAGTAATCATATTTCGATAGCTTCCAATCTAAAATAATGTAAAAGGATTCAGTCACAACACATTATACACAGGATTATGCTATCTGAAATATTAAAAGTCCCATAAATACCTAATAAGCAAGAGTGAAATATATCTCAGAAGGTTCCTCATTGTTTGTTACAATATCAATATCTGAAAAACGCTTCCTTTATGTCTTGAACCAAGGCAGCCTTCCTGAAATTAAGTGCTGAGCCAACGACATTGTAATATTTACTTTTGTCTAAATTCACTGCTTCTTTCCACTAAAAGCACTGATTGATTTTTTTCTGCAGTTCTTGACAAGTTATTCATGTTCCAAGACAGCTATTTTATAGCGGACTTAGAGACTCTACTACAGTCAGAAAAACACTGGACTGTTTTCAAATTCATTTGAAGGGAATTCGGAACAATTTCCACAACTTCAGGGATAAGTGAGTGTGTGCTGTCACTCCATGTAATCCAAGTATCAAACACGCTAGGAGGGAGAAAAGGAAAAGCAAAGTCCATGCTACGTGTTCCTGAAGTAAGTCAGTAAAGAAGAATGTGATGGAAAGCAGACAGTGGCATTCAGGTCTCAGGAAGAAGCCCATTTCTGTCTTTGCATGGGTTGGACCAGGTGTTTGAAGCTGGATTCGGGTCTTTTTTAGGCAAAATGCAAACAAACAAACAAAAACTGGATGATGATACACGTTCTGGGGCTGTCCATACACTAATGATTTACAGACAGCATTCTTGGAGTCTTGGAAAGCATTTGTCAGGACTGGACCGCTAATCCAGCAAAGACTTCAACATATTTTACCCTAAATACTTGAGCAGTTTCTTTTGCCTCATTTTGCTTAAAAATAACCACTTGTTATGAAAACAGGAACTAACTCTAGAAACTCTTACTTCTGCAGCTGTAATTTGGTTTTGTTTTTTATTCCCGTCTTTTATCCCAGCCTTCCTAGTTTAGCTGGACTCATAAGCCATGCTAGTTTGGGTACACATGGCGAGCTGCAATCACACCTTTGAAGCAAGGGCAGAAGTAACCTACAGACAAGCACCTCCTGCCAAATGTGGAAAATCTAACCCTTAGCAGGCAGCGCTCAGAAGGGAGAGGGATTTCTCCGATGGGGCGATCTGTGCTTTCTCTTCACCTTGCCTAAGTCTCCCAACTCCTGCAAAACTGCAATACCTCACAAGAAGAATCCATGATCCCTTCTTTGACATGTGCAAAAGGATAATGGTTAACAAAGGATACTGGTTCTACCAGTCCTATCCTAAATCCTATCACAGATCAGTAAATATACTAGTATTTCCTGGTGTATGAGTACTCTACAATCAAATACAAGCAGGAGAAAGCGAGCATAAGAAGTATTTATATCAAGTTGCAGAAAGGAAAACTTTGGTCAAGAATTCCTAAGAACTTAATGAATACTGTAACAAATAGGACACAGGGACAAGCAATCAAAGGACACAGTAGAGGTACCGGGAATATTTTAAGCAGCACTTGAAGAGATCAGATTGAATATCTATTCAATAGATAGTCTATCAATCAGTCAGTCTCAGTAACTACTGAGAGTGCCTGAGGGGCCTTCTACAGCCACAATTCTGAAAGAAATGAAATAGTAGCTGAGAAGTGATGCTTTCCATCTCCAAATTCTGTGCTCAGCAGTGCTTCTTCCATAATTTCAGCACAGCTGAATGTTTGCATTTGCTTGTTATAAATAAACCTGGCTTGTTATTCTAATACATGCAACACAGCAGAACGTTTAACAGTCTCAACAAAGATATACTTAGTATCAGTCGTATATTTATTGCATTCGATGGATGGAAAGGTACAACGCTTTTTGCACTGAAGAGGTTAATCCTTCATCATGATGACCAGATTCCTTAATTAAAGCTGTGACATCTGGTACTTTAGATGTTAAATACTCATTCACGTGTGTTCCACATCACAACTGCGCGCCCTTGTTTCTCAGAGTGGTTTGCACCTTCTGCGCTATGTTTTATCCTCACTACTTAGCGCATAGTCTAATCCATGCTATGCCTCCTTTCTAGAAGGATATAAAGCTTTCCCATGTATAGGAAATCGTGCAAGTAGGACTCGATCCAACAGATTTTGGTAGGACTGAATAGTTTACATTCATACATAAAACCTGCAGGTCACATGCAAGAACAGGAACAAAGAGGGACATTGACCCAAGGATCTCCTCCCCCTTGTAGCCCTTCTTTGTCCCAATAACCCCTATCCCTCCACTCTGTTTTTATACAGGTTATCTAACGGCACAAATTATAGCTATGAAAACAGCATTTAGCATCCTGCATGCTTTTAGCTGAATTTCCTCAGTAGGGATGCTTTCCAGAACTGGGGCACTGGTCTCAATCCCATCTAGATATGGTTTGGCTGGTCTTCCTGTTCTTTCAGCTGGCTCTTAGTTGGTGCCATGGTCATGTTTATCTTAGGCTCAGAGGTCGATCTACAGCATGCTCAGGTACTAACAGCAAGAAAAGCATACTTGGCAGGAAGCAGCACTGAGAGAGGAGCTGCTGAGTCCCTGTCATGGTCCCACCAGGCCTTCTGCACAGCTTCCCTCCTGCTGCAGCTGACTTGGTCAGAGGCCGGCTAGCTAGGGCAGGGCTGTGTGCTGCACCAACACATCTCCCACTGCACAGAGAGGAGATGTAGGCCTTGACA